AGAGGAACAGTGAGAAGGGAGCAGATGGTCATGTCCACCACCAAGAAAGTTTCCCGACACTGATGAGCACGGAGGGCAGAGTTAACCAGCCACCTTCTTGAAAGGCTTCACACAGATTTATTGCTGGGGTAATGTCAGATAGGGAGGAAGCCCAGCCCTCTTCCTCCTGCTCTCTTGAAGAAAGAAACTCAGGAATTTGGCAGAAGGCCACAGCTCAAACAGAGGAGACCCTGTGCTAAGGCATGTTCAGAAAAGCAGCTTCTTCTCTGCCAGGATAAACGTTGCTTTTCCACCCCCTTCTTGAGGAATGGAAGATGTTGCCCCTCAACTCCAACATCAGGAAAAGCTGTTTGGAAAGGGTGGGCTCCTCCTGGGCTGGCAAGGTAGGAAGAACAAAGTGTTTAATGGGGGTTTCTGTGCACAGCTTGAACATCCCGGGCTACAGGCGAGACAGACAACTGCCTCTTCTTCAGGGCGGCTGTTAAAGGGTTAAGACAGCAAGCCAGCATCAAAGGGAGCTCTTGAGCAGAGGGGGTTGAGAAACTGAGATGGGTCGAGGTTGCGCAGACTCCTTGGAATCTCAGGAATTTCCCATTATTATCCCACTTCCCTTCCAGCAGCCTGAAGGGAGAGAGCACAAGAACAGGACCCCAGACCCAGCAGCAGAAGCACCAGGGATGGGCATGCCCAGCACACAGCTCTGCCCCAGCTGCTATCAGGGTGTGCAGATCCAGAGAAATCAGGGCACTACAAACAGCTCGGGGGTCTTATCTCCTGCAGCTCCCTGAAAATGACAGTCAGCTCACAGATCCCAGGCTGGTTGGGCCACCATCACGGTAGGGTGAGACCCCTGCACAGTCCAAGCACAAGCCTCCCTCTAAGCAACAGTTCACCCAGACCACAGGCTTCCCACCCCTCACTGCTGCGGAAAGTTCCCAGTTTCACCTCAAAAGCCAGAGCTCCGATAGCGCTGGTGGCCCCCACACAACTCCATAACCAAGAGTTATTTGCTACTTTCACACAATTGCCACCTGCACTCCAGGTTAGACCCCAGGACACAGCCATTACCAGCTGATCTCAATCTCATCCCAATCCAAGGTCATCATCAACACCCAAGATCAGCAATAACCAACCTACAAAGGAGCTACAGAAGTGGGAAGTTTTTGCAGAGGCACCACATGGCTGATGGTCTCACTGCTTCTCCTTTCTACTTCTCTTAGACATCAGTAGGGTAATACCTGTCTTACAAGGATGTTGTCAGGATTAAAGTCTGTAGAGCACTCTGTGAACGGACCACGCTACGCAGTGCTAAGCAGCATTATGGAATTTTCTTTCTAAGAACTCTTAATGTATAAGCAGCAGCTACAAAAATCTTATTGCAAAGCTGCTTTATGAACATCAAGAAACACGTCGGGTACGTAGAGCTCAGCGTTTCCCTATGGACTGGGACGGGGCAGCATTCCTTACGCAGCAGCGGAGCACAGAAAGCTGTGCACAATTAAGGGTTCTTCTTGGTAAGAAGAGAAAAGTGGGGAGCAGTGAACACCCACCACTCAGAAGTAGCAAACTGGGGTGCAGCACAGGCAGCTGCTCTCATTCTACCCATGTCCCACACTGCTTCCCCCTCCCCAAAAAGGGCATCGCTCCTCTGCCCAGACACCTGTATTCAGTTGGGGTGGTATAAGCACCTTTATTCCCTCTTTTTTAAGGGGATACAGATTAAGAAAAACTCCATGTTAAGTGCCTGCCTGTATTTGAATTTTATTTGCCTTTTGTCTGCCCAAGCTGAGCCTGGAGAGCAGCCCCAGCTGCTATTTAAGCCTGGAAAACACTGTTTTAACACCAGCATTAACTGGCCTGTGTGACCCTTTCACATGCACTCCCAAAAAACGCTGTGGAGCAGCAGGGAACGAGTTTCTGCAAAGACCAGGGCTCCCCACACCCCTCATTTTGGGAGGTGAGGACCAGTGCTTAACAGGGAGGAGGATCCAGCAAATCCTACAGCATCTCCCGGGCCCAACGCTTTCTCAGCAGCAACGAGAGCAGGCAGCAGAGACTTACGCGTTGCAATACGGCTTCTTCTCGTAGCCCTTGTAGTTTTTCATGTTTAGGGTCATCTTGCAGGTCTCGCAGTGGAAACATGCTTTATGCCAGAACTGGAAACAGAGACAAGAGAATCATTAACACTTGTAAAACAGGGCCACGTCCCGCTAGACCCGCACAACTCCAACTCAGCAGCTCCTCCAGCCTAGAGGTGTCAGCAACGGCACCCACGACCCCTGCAAAACCTAGAGGACAGATATTCTTGCTAGTTTAGGACACAGGTAAATCCTCCCCGACCCTCCCAATGCATCTTATCTCAACAGGGCAGCAGCACTCGCGACTTGCATTACAGCAGCATCTTGCTCCCTTATCTCCAAGGCCAGGAATTCATCGGGCTCAGCCAAATATAGGGCAGGAGAAGCCTCTTACTATGAAAAAGGCACAACGCAAACCCCTGTGAGCAGGGAGGCTGACAGCAGAGCTAGCTGTGGTGTGCAGGCTTCAAAGTAGCTTTTTTTTTTTCCTTTTTTTTTGCTGATGTTAGCCAAGAGATAGCCAGCAGAGCAGGTCAGGTGAGGCTGCAGAGACACCGAGCCAAGGAAACAAAGACAGAGAAGAAAAGGTTCTCACGAGCAGCAGACAGTCCGACACAGCCACCACCCTCCTGCCTGCGATGCCGGTGGCTAATCCCCCACCTCCCAAACCCTACAGCCCCAGAGGATGCAGGACCACCCCGAGAGCTCCCCAAGCCTGAGCAGCTTCCGAAGCTGGAAGGAGCCTGGTGAGAACAGCTCGGAGCTGCTACCGAGCAGCTCTGCAGTTCCACCCCACGCAGACGGAGGTTCATGCCCTGCCAGTCACCGAGTGACCACGCTTCATGCATCCTCTGGCAGCCCCAGCCCTGGGGACCGGAGGAGCCTGGTGTGACCATCCCAGGGACCAAGCCAGGCACCACCAGAAGCAAAGTGCACAGGCAGGAGCTGAGCTGGAACTGTGCAACAGGGAAACACACAGCCCGAAGCAACGCCTTTACTCGCTCGTAGTAAGGCAGTCCTGCCCTAGGGTTGCCCTTTTCCCACAGCCTCCCTGCTCAGCTGACTCCCCCCGCACAGCCCAGCCTCACCCAGTGAAACCAGGGAAAGAACAAGCCCAAAGCCACATGAGCAGCTCATAATACCGAGTCGATTGCAGTCAACAAGCCTGCAGTGTGACACCCAGGACTGGGAGCCAGGCACACATTCACCACGCTCTGAGCAAACCCAGGGAGAACAGCTGGTGGCTGTTGCTATGATTTCCACCCTTAAGCTTTAAAAAAATAAGTCATTTCCACCACTGCAACTACTGGCTCAGTCTCCATTCCTGCATGGAGACGGCGAGAGCCAAGCCTAAGCCCTGGTGCCACCTACCCGCAGGTACCACACCCCGGTGCACAAACACTGCTCTGGCTCTACCAGACTATGACTCAGCCCAGAAGGACAATTTGCTTCATTTCAGTTGCTCAGAGCAACATATTTGTTCTTTCCCTCTAGTCACACCAGCTCCCCCAGAGCTTGCTGCTAAGAGCTAGAGGGGCTTCTCACCACACCGTTCACCGCCCCGTGCCCACATCCTCCTTCACTCCCAGCCTGCGGAGGATTATTTCTCTCCCTCCCAAGCTTCCAGTCTCCTTAAGGACAGACAGATCAACAGCTGAGTCCAGAGTTCTTCAGGCATCTTGAAAGTTGCAGCCTTTCACTGGAGCTACAGCCACATCAGAGGTAATTAACAGACCTCTCCGAGCTCGTCAGCATCCACAGCACCGTAAGAGCTGTGCATAAATGCCCGAGATGCCACTGTAAATATGTAGAGATGAACTGACAGCCAACGTGACTCCACAGCCTCCTCCTCCCAGGAACACCCAGGCTCCCGAGAGCCAAGGAGTACCTGGCACAGCCAGCTGTCCCCATGCCCGTGGCAGCCTCCACAACAAGCACAGCAGAAGCGAGGCACTCAGGTGGCCATCACCCCCAGCCACAGAGCAATTAACACTTATCCTTGCCTCATTGTGCAGCAGGCATTGTGCAGCACAGGTGCTTCTGTCCTGCAGCTCTTACAAAGGACTTTCTGAGCCTGAGCAGGCAGCT